GGGGGGAAAAATAAAACAAAACAAAACCCACACCCCCACCAACACTGACAGGGCATGTCACTGTATATAAATAGAGAGCAAACCCCATTCCGTTCTAGCACTGAAGATGTTACCTGGCCGGGTAACAAAATGTTTGCAAGAAAACAACCAAGCTCAGAGAACCCCAAGGACTCCATAATAACTATTTTTTATTAGGAATATTTCCAGGAAACATAAGTATCACAATTTATTGAGATATATGTGATGGTGGCAAGAATTAACCTGGCTCAATACTGGAAAAGAGAAACCCAGCCGACAATAAAAGATCGGGAGACCAAAATTGCAGAATATGCAGCAATGGCAAAACTGATAGCATATATTTTATATAGAAGCCTAGCTAAATTCAAGCAGGAATGACTCCCTTACGAACAATATATTACATAGCAAGGCAAATCCAGACATTTGGAATATGGTTTTTAGGAAAAGGGTTAAGAGACCAATCCGAAACAATAGATGAAATGACTTAAACAGATATGAGCAATAACTTCCAATGTGTAATGTTCAAAATGGAGTACCAATACTTAGATAGTGGTTAGTGGTTGGAGAAATAAATGGAGAAGGAGAATGGGTTACCAAAAGGTTTTTTTAATAATATTTTTACTTCTGTTTTATTAGTTGTTTATCTTCTACTTTGCTTTTTGATCTTTATCCTTGTGTCATTTCTGTTTAAATAATCTCTCAAAGTGTGTGCAGTTAAACAAACAAATGAAATGTGGAGTCCTTGGGGTTCTCTGAGCTTGGTGGTTTTCTTGCAGACGTCTTGTTACCAGGCTAGGTAACATCTTCATTGTTACAAAACCAATGTTTGAACAAAACCAATGTTTTTTTAAGTGTTAAAAACCAATGAAAGCATTAACGTTAAGCAGGCATACGTCTTCTGATAGTGTAGCCTGTTTTAACGTGGAGCCTTTCTATGACTCAGTCTCAGTCTTTGGATCAATACCTTTCACCCTGGTGGTCTGCTAAATAAATATTGTTGCTAGGCTCTCTCTCCATGAGAACAAGACAGAGGCAGAATTCTATCTTTCTAACGTAAGCTTCTGATTTCTTTATTAATTAGAAAAAATGGAAGGCCCCATGCAAAGATGGCTCGGCAGCCGGCAGCTTCTCTACATGCCCCTTTACTCTCTCCATCATCCAGCCGGGAGAACGGGAAGCACCGTGTGGCTCACAAGGGGACGTGGAACTCCTGCCACCCTGCCTCGCCTGAAGAACAACAGGGCAATGGCCTTTCTGTCTTGAGAAAAGCTCCATGGGCTGTACTTAGGTACAAGAATCACACCATTGCTTAGAATATAAATGTATGCAGAATGACAAAGAGGTATATAGGGGTAGGAGAGGACTTTGCATCAGAGTATTTATCCATGTAGTTCAGTGTTTCTCAACCTTGGCAACTTTAAGATGTGTGGGCTTGAAGTCCACACATCTTAAAGTTGCCAAGGTTGAGAAACACTTATCTAGTTAGAGATGGGCAGTGATAAGGCAAGGGTGTAGGGGCTGTCAGCATGGATTGCATCACTGTCCTGTGGGATGGTGTAGACAGTAAAGAAGATGACCTTGATGAAGATATGCCAGCTCCTTTAGCAAAGCGTCACGACGTAAAACTTATCTTAAATCCACAACAGACAGCGTTTGTAAGCAGGTCAGACAGACACCTCCCTAATTCACTGAAGTATACAAAGGGGAAGGAGGTACAGCACAATCAGATTTGCAAGATTGATGTCAGCCCCACTGGGTGGACCAGACCAAGAAGTCAATTCCACAGGAAGGCTAAAACTACTGTAAGCCCTTCAAGGTAGTCCAGACCAGGAAACCAAAACCCAGAATACTAATACTACCTTTATTGTAAGGTTACAGTAACAGAATCTTGTACGTCTGAAAGCACGCCAGACTTCAGAGAGGGGTCTCTTGCTTTTACGTTCCAGAGAACTAGAGATGGTCAATTCTAGATGCTCTCTCTACC